GAGAGGTGCTGGTCACAAGGTGATGGGCTTGACAATTTACCTGCATTTCTAGAAGGCTTTTCACCAAAGGCTCTTAAAAAATCGGGCTGCTGTAGGATAAGGGAGCAAATTCTCATTTTGGAGTTCATTCCAAGACAAGGAATGGAGGATGGGACAATTCTCCCTCCCTTGGTGGGAGCCCTGGGTGCTGGGCTGGCAAAAGCTCACCCAAGATGAGCGAGTCCATGGAAAGAAGATTCTCCAATTGCTGCTAAACACACAATTCCTCAGGCTCTGCTTCCTGGGCTGTGGCTGTGGAGTGGGAAGCAGCTCCTTCAGGTCTGCTCTGGTTCTCTGGGGCTGAGAGACCCAGAGACAGCCAGACCCAGGCTGACACCAGACTGTCCCTCCGTGGTCACTGGTGTGAGGCAGCAGCACTGGGCCAGCCACAGGAATAGAAGGGGAGAGGGAGGCAGGGAAGGATTTGTGGATCTGGGGCTCAGATTTAGGGGAGTATTTAACTCTCTCTTGTGCACAGTAGAGGCTGTGGAGTCCTGGCACTGAGCTCTGGCAAGTGCCAAGATCTTCCTTGTCCCCCCTGAGAGCTTGCAGTGAAGCTTTCCTGCTGGGAGGGTTCCTGGAAACCAGTTTGTAACGGGCTGGACACCACCTATGAGCTGTCCTGGGTCACCCAGCTCCTCAGAGCTGTGCTGTGTCTGAGCTCCCTGTGCAGCCTCACCAGAGCTAAAGGACAGGGACAGTGACATTGAGCCCTGCCATGGAGCAGGGACACAGTTAAACTGAGGGAACAAGATCCCCAGAGCTTTGCTGTGTGCAGGATGAGTTTGACCTGTGCCCTGAAAGCCTGTCCCTCTGGGTGCTCAGCTTTGTAGGTGCTGGGGAATGAGGGCAGCTCTGGGGGAGCAGAGTGAAGTCACCCCCACTCCTGCTGGCCCCAGGGTGTGGGGCTGAGCAGGCAGGGCTGGGAGGTCTCCCCCAATGAGTGGGGCTGTCCAGCTGCCTCAGCCAAGGGGCCTTGGGGCCTTCTCCAAACACCTGTGCCCAACTGTAAACACCTGACAGATCCCATTTGTTCCTGGAATTTGTTCACTTGGCTGAACTTGGAGTCTGGCTGCAGCAGGGCTGCAGGAGAAGGCGCTGGTGAAGACTGAGGTGTGAAGCCAGTGGGAGGAAGGCCACGTTGGTTGTTTAACAGATGCATTGAGAACAGCTGCTGGCTCCAGGAGCTGCCAGCTCTGACACAGGAAAACTCTGCCCAAATAGCTGAGCTTCATCTCCTGCCATTGCCTCCTCCTGGAGGATCCCTCTTCTCCCTGTCTGCACAGACAAGATGGAAGATGCCTCCTGGTTCAAAGTGCACTGAACTCCAGTCAGATACAGACCTGACTCACTGAGACACAATCCCAGCCCGTCCTCTCCTCTCTGTGTGTGTAGGTTTGGTGTCTGCCATGCCCTCGTGCTGCTCTGGGGCACGATGGAGCAGCAGCTGCAGGGAAAGGGCCCCCAGAGTCCCTGCTGGGAGCAGGTACAGGAGCTGAGCTGTGGCTGCTGTTCCTCGAGCCCCTGGGGACTTTTAATTGCTTTGCATGTTGGTTTCTGCTGCTTCTCCTCTGTCCAAGACTGTGTTAAACTGTACTAATAAATGTAGAAGCTGTCTGTTGTTCCTCTTGGGGCCCTTGAAGGCAGGAGGCTGCAGGTGCTTGTCAAAAATAGCCTGGGCAGCAGCGTGGAGGGGAGGTTTTGGGTGCAGCAGTTGTGTGTCAGAGCAGGAGGAGGTGAAGGCAGCAGAGGTGCCCTTGTCTCTGCCCTGTGCAGGGCTCTTGTGCTTCCCACTGAAGCAGAAGCCTGGCTGGGTGGTGTTCAGTGGAGCCAGGCTGGTGCTGCAGCACCACATGCTCATGGCAGCAGAAACAGCAGGGTCTGTGCTCCTGCAGGAATCACAAAATCCCAGAATAGTTGGGGTTGGAAAAGACCTTTGGAGATCATTCAATTCCCTGTCAAAGGAGGGTCACATGGAGCAGCCATCACAGGAATGTGTCCAGGTGGGTTTGGAATGTGTCCAGAGCAGGAAACTCCCCACCCTCCCTGGGCACCTGCTCCTGTGCTGTGCCACCCTCAGTGTAAAGAAATTCTTCCTCATGTTGAGGGGGAACTTCTTGTGTTTTACTTTCTGGCTGTTGTTCCTCCTCCTGTTGCTGGGCACCACTGGAAGAGCCCTGCCCATCCTCTTGGGGGATGCCAGCCCCATGTCAGACCCTGCTTTCTGCTCCTGGATTGCCAGCAGTGCTTTTGCTAAGGTCTGAGCTGCTGCTGTCAGCCAAACAAACACAGAGCATTTGAAAATGAAAGATGGTTTCAAATTTTATGGGATGGGAAATGGCTTTTGACCTGTTCTCTCTGTAGTTTTGCTGCATGTTCTCTCTTTGCACCTGTTCTCTCCACAGTTTTGCTCCCAGCCCCGTTAGTGGGAACACAGAGCTCCAGCCCCAGAGCAGAGCAGGACAATCCCCTCCCTCAGCTGTACCCAGGGCAGAGTTGGCTCTTCTGGCTGCCCCTGCTGGCTGCTGCTGAAGTTGCTGTCAGCCCCCAGCTGTGCCTGCTGGGCTGCTCTCCAGCTTCTCATCCCCCAGACTGTGTCCAGCCCTGTCCAGGTGCAGAGTCCAGCACTGCTGTTGTTGAATCTCACACAGGCTGGGACTGCCCAGCTCCCTGTGAGGCCCTTTGGGGCTCCACAGCCCCTGACAGGTCACTGTTGTTGGCAAACTTGCTTAATGTATGTTAAATTCCTGGATTTGGAGCATTTCTAAAAGCATTGAAGAGCACCAGCCCTCAAACAGAGCCCTGTGTAACCCCACTGGTGACTGTCCTTTTTCCCTGCCCTGGAAAATCCAGTTCTATGGGAATAATGGGATTTTCTCCCCCTTTTCCCTGGATTTGGAGGGGTCTCCTTTCATTCCAGCCTCATCCCAGCTTTGCTGCCATATCCAGCCACCCAAATAATGGGGGTTTTGGATCTTCCTGCACATCTGAATGTCCCAGCCCCTTCCCCAGCATCCCTAGAAATTCTGGGAAAACCAGGCTGGATACAGGGAAAGCCACTTGGGGCCATTCCTGATGTGACCCCATTTGTTGTAATCCTTTGAGCTTGACCTGACACTGCCTGCTCACCCATGCAAAGGGTGGAGCTGTGTGAGGCACAGCTTATCCAAGAGAGTGCTGGAGATGGTACAAAAGCTTTGCTAAAACCCCAACCCACCACATTGGCTGCCTTGCCAAAGGTGGCTGACACAGTGCTGGGAGGAGGGGATACCTCAGAGCGTTGTGTGGCCCTTCAGAGGGACCTCAACAAGGGCAGAGGAACCTTCTGGAATCCAGAGCAGGCTCCTGCAGCTGAGGAGGATCAACCCTGGGTACCAGGCTGGGCTGCAGCTCTGTGGAGAAGAGAGTGACACTGACTGCTCCTGACCAGCCCCGGGGCCAAGGGGGGTGAGGGAGGGGATCCAGCCTGTGGGCACAGCTGAAATGCTGTGTCAGGACAGGAGGGACATGGAGCTCCTGGAGCAGGCCTGGTGGGGGCTCTGAGGATGCTGAAGGGCCTGGAGCATCTCCTTGTGAGGAAAGGCTGAGGGATCTGGGGCTGCTCAGCCTGGAGAGGAGCCCCAGCTGAGAGGGACCCTCAGCCCTGGGTGTAGGGAGGGGCAGGGCAGGGCCCAGGCTCTGCTCCAGGGCCCAGCAGTGGCACCAGAGCCACGGGCAGAGACTGAGCCCAAAAAGTCCCAAATGAACACAAAAAACTTCTTGTACACTGGCACAGGCTGCCCAGAGAGGGAATGGAGTGTCTGTAAATGGAGATGTTTCAGAGCTGTCTGGCACAGCCCTGTGCCCTGGGCTGGCTCTGCCTGAGCAGGCAGCTGGGACCAGGTGAGCCCCTGTGGGCCCTTCCAGCTGAACCATTCTGGGCAGTCAGAGCCTGAGCCTCTCCCCAATGGGAATGAAGCAGATGGAGCAGGACCTTCCCCTGTGAGCCCACCCTGGCTGTGACTGCTGCCTGCATTGTCTCTCAAGGGGTTTTCAGCAACTCCCTAAATAACCTCCAGGATTTTAACAGACACTATAGTGACTCCCTAAATAACCTCCAGGATTTTAACAGACACTGAAGTGGGACTGGCAGGCTTGTGGGATGCAGGGTCTTCTTCCTTAAGCCTGCTTGACAACTGGGACATTTATCACATTCCACTCAACAGAGGCTGCCCAGACTCCCCAAACCCTGAAAAACAAAGGAGAGGTGGCAGAGTGACACCAGGCAATGCCCTGGGGTGGATCCATCGTGTCCCGTCCAGCTGGAAAGTCTCGAACTGGTTCAGTGGCTGCTGGGAGTCTTTGTCATCTTCCAGGACAGGCCTGCAGCCTCATCCACGCGAGCCACTAGAGATAGAGATATATCAGATTACTCTGTTGTCCCTTATCGTTACATTCCCTACGTTGCATTTCATTCTATGGAAGAAACCTCAGCTTGCTTAAGGGACACGAGGGGCAGGACGAACGCAGCTTCCTGGAGGTTTCACGCCACTGATTTTTATGACACTCCACCAAACGCTGCTGTGTGAGTGAAGCGGGCTCGGGCAGCTTCTCCGTGCGCTCCCCGCCCGCGCTCCGCCGCTCCCTCAGGGGCCGCCGCCATCTTCCCGCCCCTCCCGCCGCCGCGCGCGGGCCGCCGGGACGGGGCGGTGCCGACGCCGGGGATTGGCCCGCCGCGATCACGTGGCAAGGGGCTGCCGTCCGCGAGCCTTTCCCGCGAGGTGTGGCCGCGGCGGCGGCCGCTGATTGGTCGCTGTGCGAGGCGTGGCCGCTAGAGCGCTCGCTGATTGGCCGTGGCGCGCGCGGCCCGGCGCGAGGGCAGCACCGCCCACGTGACGCGGGCGCGGGGCCGGAGCGGGCCCGGAGCAGCGGCGGCGGCTGCGTCCCGCCGGCGGTGAGTGAGGGCGGGCCCGGCACCGGCACCGGCACCGGCACCGCGGCCTCGGGCCGCCCCTCCGCTCCCTCCGGCGGAGCTGCCTGCCCGGGCCCCGCTCAGCCCTGGGCCCCGCTCGGCCCCTGTCCCAGAGACAGCGGTGAGCGGGCCTCCGTGCAGCGGGACATCGCGCGGCCGGAGCTCAGCCCCGGCCCGGGAGGTGCAGCCCCGGCCCGGGAGGTGCAGCCCGGCCCGGTGTTCGTGCCCAGGGCTCCCGGGCCGCGTCAGAGCGAGTGTGGCGGGCTCGTTTTGTTGCCCGCAGCTGGATTTCCTTCAGCCCTTCCCAATGGAGCGGTGTGGTGCGAGGAGAGAGAGCCGCGATGGAGCTGGAGGGATAGCGAGGAACTTCCAGTGCTGGAGGGAAGACTGGTACAAGGCTTGACTTCTTTCTTTCTCTCCTTTTTCTCTCTAATGATTGCAGCGAGCGCTCGCAGCACGGCCCTTTGTCACTTCCCGGGAAAACTCCAAAAGCAAAGCCCTTGTTCCGCTGCCAGCATCCTCCGTTACCCGCGGTGAAACCCAGAGTGCAGCCCCACAGACCTTTCCTAATGCGATGGGGACGATGCCGTGAGGCCTGGTAAGGCTCGGCCATAGCCATGACAGAGCCCCACAGGGTGTCGTTCACCACTCTGCACGGGCCCCTGAGCAGCAGCTTCCTCAAGAGGTCTCGGAAGGACGAGGCAGAGCAGCCCCCGGAGGCGGAGCCGGCGGCCACGGCCGTGCGCATCACTCTGACCCTCTTCGAGCCCGACCACAAACGCTGCCCCGAGTTCTTCTACCCCGATCTCCTCAAGAGCTGTCGGGGGAAAGTAAAAGGGAGTTCTTCAGGTGACAAGGTGAGTGTCCCTGGGGGATCTGTGCTGGAGCTGAAGGTCTCAAGGGCTGTCTCAGCATGGCTGTTGTGAGAGCTGGGTCTCTGTTTGCTGTGAGGGGGGAGGAGGGTGGGTGAACATCCTGCAGGCAGGAGAACTGACCCACAGGCTGGGGTGCTTGTTGTCAGGCCATGCTGGGGCACTCCTTTGCAATGCTGGAATTTGGTGTTGGGAGGGTGTTGTGCTGTGGCAGCTGTGGGATGTGATGCTCGATCAGTAGATCTAAAGTGAGTTTTGGTACCTGGGCAGCTGGCAGTGCTAAGGAGCTGTTTTCCAAAGAGCACCAAAGCAGACATGAATGAAAACTGTAACATCTAAAGTTTGAGTTAGGAGTGTTTGTCTATGAAAACAAACTTACTGGATTCTGTTCCTTTTACTGTTTGCCTTCAGGACTGTTAGCAGTCAGTTGATGTTTTATGCCATTTAATTTTTGGGGTTTTTTTTGAGGGTTGTGAGAAGCAGAGGCAGGTACAAAACGAGCTGGGAGAGCATCCAAACCACATGGACACTCTCAGAATCCCAGCAGAGTTTGGGTTGGAAGGGACCTTAAAGCCCATCCCATTCCACCCCTGCCGTGGCAGGGACACCTCCCACTGTCCCAGGCTGCTCCAAGCCCTGCCCAGCCTGGCCTTGGGCACTGCCAGGGATCCAGGGGCAGCCCCAGCTGCTCTGGGCACCCTGTGCCAGGGCCTGCCCACCCTGCCAGGGAACAATTCCTAATTCCCAATATCCCATCTAACGATGCCCTCTGGCAGTGGGAGCCATTCCCTGTGTCCTGTCCCTCCAGGCCTTGTCCCCAGTCCCTCTCCAGCTCTCCTGGAGCCCCTTGAGGCCCTGCAAGGGGCTCTGAGGTGTCCCTGGAGCCTTCTCCTCTCCAGGTGAGCACCCCCAGCTCTCCCAGCCTGGCTCCAGAGCAGAGGGGCTCCATTCCTTGGGCTCCCCTGGACTCTCTCCAGCAGCTCCAGGTCCTGCTGCTGTTGGCCCAGGGCTGGGGCAGCTCTGCAGGTGGGGTCTCACCTGAGGGGGCAGAGGGGCAGAATCCCCCCCACTGCTGCCCCTACCAGGGCTCAGCCCAGCCCAGGGGGGTTTCTGGGTGCTCACAGCCAGGGCAGGTCCAGCTGTCACCCACCAACAGCCCAAATCCTTCCCCCAGGGCTGCTCTGAATCCCTTCCTCTCCCAGCTTGGACTGATCCCACAGGTTCCAGGTGCAGCTCCAGCATTTGGCTTGGTGGAACCTCGTGGAGTTCCATGGTCCCAGCTCTCCAGCCTTGCCAGGTCCCTCTGGATGCCCTCCCATCCCTCAGGTGTGTCAGCCACCCCACACTGCTGGGTGGCATCCCCAGACATGCTGAGAGTGCCCTGATCCCACTGTCCCTGTCACTGATGAAGATGTTGATCAGCACTGTCCTAAAGGTGGATTTAGCTGAGCTTCTGCCCAGCTGCTCTAGTCAGGATGGGTTTAATTCCTGCAGTTTTGGTGGCACTGTGACAAGATTGGCTGTCATTGTTTTACCCCTTTTGTTTCTGCAGAAGAAAGACCCAGCTGATCCCTTCAACGATGAGGAAAAGGAAAGGCATAAAGTGGAGGCTCTTGCTAGGAAGTTTGAAGAAAAATATGTAAGTGTTTTTTCTTTAAATTATGTTGTTCTCTGGGCTGGGCAGTGCTGTTCAGGTCTCAGGCAGTGCTTTTAATGCTCACTGGCTCTCAAGTTCCTGTTCTCCCTCAGTCCTTTATCCTGGCTGCCATGTGCTGGTTTTTATGTTCTTTTTCTGTCTCAGGGCTGCAAAAATAGTTCAGATTCATTCTTAAATCAGATGAGTCTGATTAAAGGAAATTACATGAACTAAAGTGAGCAGCAAATCACTTACTGTGATTGATAAAATTGACTTTTCCTTAAGCAAAAATGAATTCCTAGGGCTTGTTGCTGTGGCAGGATGGAATGTTCCAAGTCTCTGGGCATGGGGCTGTGATGAGGACACTTCCCTCAGGACACTGCTGCATGGATCTCTCCTACCTGTTCCTTGATGTTCTTCCTTTTGCATTATTTCTGTGGCTGGCACTAAAATCACACTGTGGTTTTTATACCCTTTGCCACTTTGGGGTAGCAAGTTGTGTGTTGTTTTGTGGCACAGATTTGGCCCATGGGTCACCCTGGCACACTGTGTGTGTGTGATGTCTGCAGCACTGAGTCTGTACCTGCTGGAGCACTTAGGGAAGAGCAAGCCCTATGGAAGAGAGCCCTGGCAGGAGTGTTGAAGGGATGCAGACCCAATTCAGTGTGGACTCTGGCTGGCAGTTTTTCATTTGCCTGCACTGTTTTGTTTCTATGACAAGGCTTCAAACTGGATTTACCACACCCTGGGAGCACAGTGCGATGAGAGCCAGCCCTGCTTTGGTTCTGCTGTAGCTTTTGTGTCCTGGAGCCAGTGCTGCTGTCCTGTGTCAGGGTATCCCTGTGGTGCTGGGATGGAAAAGTGATCCCAGTGTCCATGTTTCTTGTTCAGGGTGGCAAGAGGCGCAGGAAGGACCGGATCCAGGATTTGATTGATATGGGCTATGGCTATGATGAGTCCGACTCCTTCATCGACAACTCGGAAGCTGTGAGTGCCTAAAGGTGGCTGAGGGGAGGCTGAACCTGCTCTGGGACTGAGCCACGAGGCTGCCAGGGCCAGGGAGTGAGAGCTCTGGGGCAGCTGCATGGCAGGAGATGCTGGTGGGCATTCCAGTGTGCTCCTGGGGGAGCACAACCTCCTCATGATCAGGGACAGGACTTGAGGACATGGCTGGAGCTGAGTCAGGGAGCTTTAGGTGGGATATCAGGAAAAGGTTCTTGCCCTTTCAAGGAACAGCTTTCTCAGAGCCACAGCACCAAGCCTGTGTGAGCTCCAGAGCATTTGGACAATGCTCTCAGGGATGCACATTGGGGTTGTTGGGGTGTCTGTGCAGGGCCAGGAGCTGGACTCAATCTGATGGGTCCCTTCCAGCTCAGCATGTTTTGTGATTCCATGAATCCCACTGCATCCTCCAAGCAGCTGAGCTGTGGAATGAAGTAACCAGGTCCCAGTGCCAATGAAGTGTTCTCTGTCATTTGCAGTATGATGAGCTGGTTCCTGCCTCTCTCACCACCAAGTATGGAGGGTTCTACATCAACTCAGGAACACTGCAGTTCCGGCAGGCCTCTGAGTCTGAGGATGACTATGTCAAAGAGAAGAAGAAGAAGTGTCCCAAGGTCAGGAAGGCAGCTTTCTCAATGATTCCCTCTGTTACAGCTCGGAGCTTGCTGCATGAAAGTGTGTTATCATCCAGAGTGGGAGAGATTTGTGACGTGGTGTGGACAGAATAGGGATAGGTACTTGAAATCCCATTGTATCCTAAAATGAAGCATGTCTGGCATGGATAAGACCCTGGTGGGGTTACCTGGTTCCCAGAGCAGAGGTGGCAGCAGCTCCCTGTCACCCTGGAAGTCACAGCATTATGGGGATGCTGTCAAATGCTAAGGCAACACGTGCCAGAACCATGGTGAGGGATGTAGGGGGGTTGGGTTAATGATCCTGTGTTTTCACATGCCTGGGAGAGGTCCCAAAGTGGCTCTGGGAGTGCTGGTAATGTTGTGGGAAACTCTTTGATTGTGACTTGTTCTTAACCCTCTGCAGAAGCGGAAGTTGAAAGATGGGGGTGAAAAAATAAAGAAGAAGAAGAAGGATGATTCTTATGACAAGGAAAAGAAATCAAAGAAGTCCAAGTTTCCAAAAGCTGGGTAAGGAGGGGAGGAGGCAATTCTTGCTGCTCAGCACCTTGTTTCAGGGTTCCAGGGGGCTGCAGTAGGAACATGTTGCAGTGTGGGGTGGCTTCAATGCACATTGCAAACACCAGCAGGAAAACCCCTGTTGTTTCCCAAGGTGGAAAGAGGGAAGGAGCACAGCTCCAGAGCAGCAGTGTGTGAGCAGAGAGAGGCACAGCTGGCTGCAGGAGTGGTGTTTTTGGAGCTCTGTTTAATGGGAACAAGTCTGGAGAGGAGAGAGAAAAATGACAACTGTTGGGATGAAGCTGTGGGAGGAAAGGCAGGTGGGAAGGGCTCGGGGCTGCCAGGGAGGGAGAGGTTACAAGGCAGGCTGTGTTACTGCTCTCTCTGGGCAGTCCTTTGTACTCCTGTCCAAAGTATTTCTTGGATGAGTGCTCAGCTCTTTTATAGCTTTTGGGCTGTAAAATGGAATGATTTTTCTTTTTGTTCTGAGTCATCTTGTGCTGTAGCTCTGTCCATGCTTTGGTCTGCCTGACCTGTCTCTTTCAGTATCTATATCTGTTGCTTTTCATTAATTTCTTGTATTTTCCTCCTCAGTTTTTTCCTTCTTCCTTTAACTATTCTTTGTAATTTATTTTTTCCTGCATGGATCTGCTTTTGGGCAGCAGCAGCCCATGTGTCTGATATTATCAGTGTGTGATTCCTTCAAAGTGAGCAAAGAAAGGAATTTGCTCTCCTGGTTTTAACACAGCAGAAAACTTCACACTAACTCTGTCCTGCCTCAGTTCCTCTGTACTAATTGTGCATTTCCCAACCTTCCTCGCTGGAATAACAATAATTTCATGTAGCTAAATGAAAGCAGAGCTTTGTGGAGGTGGTTTAGGCCCCAGCACCTCTCTGCAGTGAGTCAGGACAGCCTTCTCTGAACTGAGGTGAATAGCCAGAAAGAACCCTGAGACTTTTAGAAGCTGTAAAATACTTTTTCTGCTGTAATCTGTTAGGGAGCTAAGACTTTCCAGGGAGTTGTGCCTGAAGTGAACTGGGGGACAAGGGACCCTGTCTGCTCCTTGACCTTGTATTCAGTTCCCTTTCCCCCTCTACCCTCTGTTTGCAGCTTCACAGCATTAAATGCAAGTAAGGAGAAGAAGAAGAAGAAATACTCTGGAGCTCTCAGTGTCAAGGAGATGCTGAAGAAGTTCCAGAAGGAGAAGGATGCTCAGAAGAAAAAAGACGAAGAGCAGAAAGCGGCGACCCCTTCTCCAGCAGACCCTGCAGCCCCAAGGGAGGCAGAGGCCATGGCTGACCCTCTGCTGTCCCTCTTTGGCCACGCCAGTGACAGTGACCTGCTCCAGGCAGCCTCAGCCATGGAGTCCCTGAGCGAGCTGGACCTGGAGCGGCTCCTCAGCGAGTCCCCCGAGGGCAGCCCCTGCCCTGAGCTGGAGGATGGCAGCGACCCTGCCTTGGAGCAGGAGTTCAAGCAGCCACCATCCCTCCCAGAGGGGCTGCCAGCCGCCCTGGAGAAAAGGATCAAGGAACTGGCTCAGGTACAGCAGCTCCTGGGGGCCCTGGGGCTGGCAGGGGCACAGCTCTGCAGGGAGTGTGGCAGGAAGGGATGTGTGTGGGTGTGTGTGACAGGAAGGGATGTATGTGTGTGTGTGTGTGACAGGAGTGTCTGTGACAGGAGGGCACAGCTCTGCTGGGAGTGTGACAGGAAGGGATGTGTGTGTGTGTGTGTGTGTGACAGGAAGGGATGTATGTGTGTGTGTGTGTGACAGGAGTGTCTGTGACAGGAGGGCACAGCTCTGCTGGGAGTGTGACAGGAAGGGATGTGTGTGTGTGTGGGGGACAGGAAGGGATGTATGTGTGTGTGTGTGTGTGTGACAGGAGTGTCTGTGACAGGAGGGCACAGCTCTGCAGGGAGTGTGACAGGAGCGGATGTGTGTGTGTGACAGGAAGGGATGTGTGTGTGTGTGGGTGTGTGTGACAGGAAGGGATGTGTGTGTGTGGGTGTGTGTGTGTGTGTATGACAGAAGTGCGTGTGTGTGTGACAGGAGGGGGTGTGTGTAACAGGAGGGGATGTGTGTGTGTGACAGGAGGGGATGTGTGTGTGTGTGTGTGTGACAGGAAGGGATGTGTGTGTGTGTGTGTGACAGGAGTGTCTGTGACAGGAGGGCACAGCTCTGCAGGGAGTGTGACAGGAGCGTGTCTGTGTGTGTGACAGGAGTGTGTGTGTGAGACAGGAGGGCACAGCTCTGCTGGCTCTGTGTGTGACAGTGGCAGGAGGGCACAGCTCTGTGTGTGTGACAGTGGCAGGAGGGCACAGCTCTGTGTGTGACAGTGACAGGAGGGCACAGCTCTGTGTGTGTGACAGTGGCAGGAGGGCACAGCTCTGTGTGTGTGACAGTGACAGGAGGGCACAGCTCTGCTGGCTCTGTGTGTGACAGTGACAGGAAGGGCACAGCTCTGTGTGTGACAGTGACAGGAGGGGACAGCTCTGTGTGTGTGACAGTGACAGGAGGGCACAGCTCTGTGTGTGACAGTGACAGGAGGGCACAGCTCTGCTGGCTCTGTGTGTGACAGTGACAGGAGGGCACAGCTCTGTGTGTGTGACAGTGACCGGAAGGGCACAGCTCTGTGTGTGACAGTGACAGGAAGGGCACAGCTCTGTGTGTGTGACAGTGACAGGAGGGCACAGCTCTGTGTGTGTGACAGTGACAGGAAGGGCACAGCTCTGTGTGTGACAGTGACAGGAAGGGCACAGCTCTGTGTGTGTGACAGGATGGGCACAGCTCTGTGTGTGACAGTGACAGGAGGGCACAGCTCTGCTGGCTCTGTGTGTGTGACAGGATGGGCACAGCTCTGTGTGTGTGACAGTGACAGGATGGGCACAGCTCTGTGTGTGTGACAGGATGGGCACAGCTCTGTGTGTGTGACAGTGACAGGAGGGCACAGCTCTGTGTGTGTGACAGTGACAGGAAGGGCACAGCTCTGTGTGTGTGACAGTGACAGGAGGGCACAGCTCTGTGTGTGTGACAGTGACAGGAGGGCACAGCTCTGCTGGGAGTGTGTGGCAGCACCCAGGGACAGAGCACATTCCATGGGGGAGTTTCTCAGATCCACTGGGATCACACCTTTGTGTCACTCAGTTTCCTCTAAGTGATTTTCTTGATGTCAAGGGATGTCCAAGTGCTGGATCCTGTCAGGTACTGAATGTGACACTTGAGGTCACATCTGACCAGGATTCCTTCTTTACCCTCTTGGAAAGGTATGGACCTGGTGCAAGTAGCAATTTCCAAAGTCAGTTTGACATGAAGGGACTGAAATGTGAATTACTGAGCCTGGAGGGCTGTTTTGGGCTGGGATAGAGGTAATTTTCTCCAGAGTGGCTGTTTGGGGGCAGGTTTGAATTGTGTTGTGAAGAGAGCTGGTAACCCAGGAATGTTTTGTTACTGAGCAGGGAGTGCTCACCCAGTGCCAAGGCCTTTGCTGCTCCCACCCCACACTGCCAGTGAGGGGCCTGGGGGGCAGGAGGAGCTGGGAGGGGACAGCCAGGACAGCTGATCCCAACAGGGATATCCCAGACAGGGGGATCATGATCAGCATATAAAACTGGGGGAAGAGGAGGAGGGGGATGTTTGGAGTGATGGCATTTGTTTTCCCACATGATACATATGTGATGGATGGAGCCCTGCTGTCCTGGGGATGGCTCAACACCTGCCTGTCCATGGGAAGTGGGGAAAGAATTCCTTGTTTTCTTTGCTTGTATGGCTTTTGCTTTCCCTGTTACACTGCCTTGTCTCAGCCCATGGGTTTTCTCACTTTTACCTTTGTGATTTCCTGCCCCATCCCACCTGGGTGAGGGAGCAGCAGCTGTGTGGGGCTGAGTTGCAGGCTGGGGTTAAACCATGACAAGGACAAATTCCATCATAATATTTTTAATGTGCTGTGCTGGTCAGGACACTGAAGGGGTGCACATTGTTGTGTGTGTAAAATAATGCAGCTGGAGAGCATTGCCACAGTTCTGCACTGGGAGAAGCCTGGAAAGCCCTGTAGATGGGGCTTGAGGATTGCTAGAACCATTTCCATGTCACAGGCAGATCCTTTGCTGAAGCTTGGGTACCACTGGAGCTGCACCAATTTGGCAATTTGAGTCCCTCAGCCATTTTTAACATCTGGTTGTTGGGGTCCCATTTAGGGATTATTGGATTCTTTGCTTCTTTTCTGCCAAAGTCAGGATTAAATCACCAGACAGTATTTCTTGTCAGACTCAGTTGTTTATTAGTTCTTATCTATGTTACAATCTCACAAGCTGTGAGTTGTACAGTGCTTTGCTCTAACAAGGTAGAAAATGGCTATGTATCTCTCTCTACAGGGCCTTTTGAGGCTAAACTATCCAATTAAGAAATGACAGCTAAATTATTTTTACTTTTAACCCAATAACCAACCACCCATGCCTGCAATGTGGACTTTGTATCCAATTACACAAAACCACCCAAACCCATGGACAAGAGGGTGAAGAAGGAGCGGCCTCTGCCCTAAAACCTCCATCTTGCTTTATATATATTGCTATATTCTAAACCCTTAAACTCTGAGTTTACCACCATGAGATATTACACACTTCTGTTCAAACTCCACCCCCACAATCCCAGTTCTGTCATTCCATTTTGGAAGCTTCTCCACAGCCTCAGGTCAGTGCAATGTTCTCCTGGGGGTCAGTGCCTGGCAGCACAGAAAGTCTGAAATTCTCAGCAGCCAGGGTTCCAACAAGGGAGTGAAATATATTAATGTCTAGAAGGATGATCTTATGTCTTTTCACCTCCTGCAGCTGGGCTCCTGTGGGACTCACCCATCTTCTCCATAGTGTGGTGTGCTTTGGGAAGCTCCAGCCTGTTTTGGAGAAGGAAAGTACAGGGTGCTGGTCAGGGATCCCTTCCTGGCCTGTCACAGTGTGCTTCCAGCCTTGTGGTGTGAGGGCTGTCACCATCAGCCTGTCAACAAGTGCTGGGAGGTTGTGTTCCTGCTGCTGGTGTGGTTTTGAACACTGATTTTAAGTTATAAATGTGCCCTTGGAGCTCTGTGGTGGTTCTGCCTCCTGGGGCACTCCAGTTGAGAGCACCTCTTGCTGAAGTGAGGGATGCTGAGTAACTGCTGTCACTGAAGATAAGCTGCTCTTAGAGAACTGTTCTGCTGAGTTGTGCACTGGGGGTGAGCAGATGGGAGGGGAGGAGGAACTGAAGCAAGTATTGCCACAGGTGATAAAAATAATGGGCTGTTGGTGGATGTTTCTGTTTCAGAAAGCACCAAAACACTGTTTGGGACTCTATCTGAGTTAAAGGAGAATATTTTGGAAGTGCCATGGTATCAGGTTAATGGTTATGGTGTTGTGAAACAGTTTAATAGCAGGGTCCCCACTGATTTCCTGCTTAGATTTTCCTGCTGCTGTGTCTCTTGTTGCTGGATTGTGGATGTTAAGAAAAGAAAGAAACTGAAACCTGTGGGTGAGTTAGTGCTGTGGGACATGAGCTCAGGTGGCACTGAAGAGGTGCTGGGCCTCTGCCTGAGAGCCAAGTCTCTTCATCCCAGAGGTGGGAGCATCTCCTGAGCCTCCAGGCATTTCCTCTTCTACTTGAACTGCTTTGACTTTAACCCTCTCCTTCCTGAGTAATTTTCCTGTTGAGGATTCTCCTTAGCATTGAGTCTTCTCCTTTGACATCACCTGCTGCTGGCAGGGAGGAATGTTCACCCTCTGGGCATAAATTAATTGCTTGCCTGCCTCAACTTTGGAATGGTAAATCAAGGGATTTCAAAATCCTCTCCTGGTCTGCTCCCCTGTGCAAGGAATCACTAACTCATGGTGGTGCCTTGTGCCAAATCCCAGCTTTGTTTATATCTCCACTCAGAAAAAACTGAAAGCTCTTGGCAATTTGTAACTATCTCATTCATCTCTTGGAATAATTTTCCTGCTGGACATATTTTTCATGGGTGTGATGTTTTTGGGCAGCACTTTGTGAGCTGCAGTCATAGCTCTGGAAGCTTCCTGAACTGGACTTCTTTTGTTTCCATGGTGTTGACTGGGAGTAACACATCCCCTGTGGCTGTGACTCTTCTCTGTTGGTGTCTTGGCTTAGTTTCCAGATGGATCTAGAAAACCTGGTGATAAGTCTCCTCAACCTTCCTTAGATGTGATAAATTTGAGCTTTCCTGGTCCAGGGACAAGTTCTGAGCTCATATTCCTCCATCTACTGAGAAGTTAAAACCATGCCCTGAAGCTGTTGTTGTCCCCATGGCAAGTTTGCCAGAGAAGTCACCTCCTTTTTCCCAGGAAACACTCCAGAGTGGTGACTCCAGTGCCCCTGGAGAGGAGAATCCAGGCTGGGAAGGTCACCAGGCAGGGACCTGACCTGGGGAGGTTCACACTTCTGCTGTGACAGAGTTTGTGTTTTATTACACAAACACAAATAATAAAACTGTGCCTTGTTTTGGAGTAGTTCTGGGGTGGTTTTGAAGACACCTGGCTGCTTGTGCCAGCTGTGAAGTGCTGATGATTTGTGTTATTTCCTGACTTCCAGGCTGCCAGAGCTGCTGAGGGAGAAGGCAAGCAGAGATTCTTCACTCAGGACATCAACAACATCATACTGGAGTAAGTGCTGCCAGCAGAGAGGTGTGGGAAAGGAGAGCATTAGGCAGAGCATTTTTGGTAAATTCAGGAGCAGGTTCAGCAGGAATTGTGGGGTTGTCCTTGTACAGGTCTTTCAGGCAGAACATGCCCAGAATAACATGAAAGTCTCCTATAAATGGCTTTCAGGTGAAATATGATGAGCTAGGAGAGTGTTGGAGGGAATATATCCAGGCCTCCTGTTCCCAAGATGCTGCCTGATATTTATGTGCCTAAATTTGGTCACTTGACCTGTGAGTTTAGCTTGATGCAAGTAAATCTCTCCCTGTGAGAGATGTCAGGTATGTTTCTGCTACTTAACTTGCATGCTATGTAGAATTGTTTATAACTGGGATAAGGGTGCTGGGTTCAACTGGTTCTCTGGGAAAACTGGAGGAATTCCATTCCTGCTCTGTGTTTTGAGGCCCCAAATTACAGAGTGCCAGTGTTGCTCAGGCAGCTGCAGATAATGGCTTCATTCTTCTGCCAGAGCCTGGAGAGGACTGATGAATGCACAGGGTTTTGTGATCAGTGCAATAATACTGACACCCAGGCTTTAATTTCATTAAGGTTTATCCAGGCACTTGCAGGGAAGTGCCAAGGGGAGTTTGGGACTCTGTTTCCCTCTCATTTCCAGGGCTGATTACCACCTTCCAGCATTCCAGTGCTGGCTGCACCAACAGTCCTTGTCTGGTGGCAAACTGATCACTTCAGCCTCACTCAGAGGAGATTTAGACAGATTTGTACAATTTTGCTGCACAGTTTGGATCAGGGCAACCCCAGAGATGAATATTGATTGAGAGAAGAATTTGGGCTGTTGGTGGGTGAGAGGCTGGACATGCTCCCCTCTCTGTGCACCCAGAACCCCCTGGGCTGAAACTCCCCCAGCAGGGAAGGGGGGGATTCTGCCCCCTCAGGTGAGACCCCACCTGCAGAGCTGCCCCAGCCCTGGGCCAACAGCAGCAGGACCTGGAGCTGCCGGAGAGAGTCCAGGGGAGCCCATGGAGATGCCCCAGGGCTGGAGCCCCTCTGGAGCCAGGCTGGGAGAGCTGGGGGTGCTCACCTGGAGAGGAGAAGCTCCAGGGACACCTCAGAGCCCCTTGCAGGGCCTAAAGGGGCTCCAGGAGAGCTGGAGAGGGACTGGGGACAAGGCATGGAGGGACAGGACACAGGGAATGGCTCCCAGTGCCAGAGGGCAGGGCTGGATGGGATATTGGGAATTAGGAATTGTTCCCTGGGAGGGTGGGCAGGCCCTGGCACAGGGTGCCCAGAGCAGCTGGGGCTGCCCCTGGATCCCTGGCAGTGCCCAAGGCCAGGCTGGGCAGGGCTGGGAGCAGCCTGGGGCAGTGGGAGGTGTCCCTGCCATAGCAGGGGGTGGAATAAAATGAGCTTTAAGGTCCCTTCCAATTCAAAGCATTCTGTGACTTTAATGATGGTGATGATTAATCATTTGGCATTTTTTACACTTTCTGACACAGAGAAGTGGCTTTAAAAGCCAGGCTCCTAATGTCTGTTTAATTGTGTAGATGGGTTTGGCACATGCTGATCTCTCTCATCTACTCACTTGGAAGTTGAAACCCAAGGGATAAAGTTTGATTTTGTGTTGTCCTGAATTCCACTGCCACAGCACCTGACATAACCAGTGTGCACTTCTCATTTCATTGCCTGACCCTCCTGCCTGCAGCTGCCAGGGAGAGCAGATGAGACTGCAGACTGCCACTTGTTCCTTCTGCAGCTACTCCCAGAGCAGATTCAAAGCACAGCTTGGGATAAAACCTATTGATCCTAGAATCCAGAGAACCTTCAGGCAGTTTACCTTGTCCTTCATCCCTCTGTCCTGTCCCAGCCTCCTGCTGAGAGCAGGTTTGCCCCCGAGCAGGCAGCACAGGCTGGATAGCTCAGTCTTTTATGGGGACAGACTGTCCAAGACCCAGGCAGCTCTCAGCTTTAGCAAGCAGAAGGGATATCAGCTCTTTAGTGATTATCAGTTCTTGGTGAGTTCCAGAGAGAGAGAGAAGGCTGCTCTGGGGTTCCACAGCGATGTCTTTACTGGGGGCCTGTGATGAGTTCCAGCTCTTCTTACCAGAATGGGCTAAACCAGCCCATTATACAGGGTATAGGGGGATCAGAAATTGTCCAATAGCAGGGGTTAAGGGAAAGTGACCTATAGGGTTACAGAGAGATAAGCTGGGGTCTGAAAGGTGGAAGAGAGGGGTTTCTTTGCTATTCCACCAGGACATGGCATTTCTTATCTTTAAGCCTCTGCTCTCCACGGAGCCCTGGCAAGCCCATGGCCTGCTACACTGTCCCTGCCTCCCAGTCCCCTCAGGGTGGCCCTGGTGGCTCAGGGCTGGCTGGCAGTCCTGCTAAGGCTGTGTTTGTCCCCAGCATCGAGCTGCAGACGCGGGAGCTCAGCAGCCAGGTGCGCTCGGGGGTCTACGCCCACCTGGCCGCCTTCTTCCCCTGCAGCAAGGACACGCTCCTGAAGAGAGCCCGCAGGCTCTACCTCTACGAGCAGGTGAGGAGGAGGCCACCAGGCCTGGGGGGGGTGTAGCCTGGGGGATGGTGGCTCTGCTGAGCACAGTGTGGCTGTTGCTGTCCCCAAACCCTGTGTCCTCCGTGGGGCACCGGCCCGGCATGGTGGCTGGGTGGGGTCTGGAGCTGGCTGGATTTTGGTGTCCCAGCCATGGGAACATGTTGGGGTGTTCTGTGTGGCAGCAGCTCTCTTGCCACAGAGAGAAACACACAGCTTTCCTCTCGGAGTCTCTGTGGCTGAGATGACCCCGAGGTGTTAGAAAGTCTTTTTTTCCCAGCCCTGAGATTGAAGAAGGAGTCAGGATTCTTTGGCTCTGGTTGTCAAGGTTGTTTAATCTCTGTTATCTATCATTCTATCTAACATGCTTTTATTTGTTATTGTTATCTATCTATTTATTTGTTATTCTATTTATTTGTTATCTATCTAACCTTTTCCTGACCTGCTGAGGTCTAGCAGTTTGGTCGGTGGCACACTGACCGCCCTCTTGGCAGTGTTATCCTTTTATACTAAAAACTACCTGTACATTATTTACAATCATTTTCCAATACCTATCACCTATGTTAGACTGTGTTTCTACTCTAAACCAATCCAAAAGTGCCACCATCACCCAGAAGATGGAGGCTAAGAAGAAGAAAGAAGAAGGGCAAGGCATGCCCAAATCCCTCCATCTTGGCTTCTGAACCCCCATTCTAAAAACTTCAACATTTTACTTTTTCACCCTGTGACAAACTAACTATCATTCTACTTAAACTCTTGTGGCTTGTAAATCTTCACATAAAGCTGGTAATTTTCTCCATGGGTTAAAATCCAAGGCACAGGTGTCTTTGGCTTCGTGCCGAGGTCTCTGAGCCCCCTGGCAGGGGCTCGAGCCATCCAGGGCAGCCAAAGGGATGTCCTGGGTTCTGACACTTTCCCAGGCATTGTTCTGGGAAAAATCTGTGAGAAGATCAGAGAAAAGAATGAGAACCAATTCTTAACTTGCTGCACCTGCTATTGTGAACATGTGGAATGTGTAATGGAGATTTGTTTACCAAAGGGTGATTTGTTAATTAACTAACGGTGACAACGTTTTAATTAAAGAACTAATCAATTCCACCTGTAGTGAACTAAGGTATAAAAGTATAGGTTTCTTAATACAGATTATTGCTCAGCCTTCTGTAAATACATGGGAACTGTGTAAGTTATCAGCCAGTGCAGGCTGTTGTGCTGACAGCTCTGTGCTCGCTGCAGGGTGGGCGCCTGAAGGAGCCTCTGCAGAAGCTGAAGGAAGCCATTGGAAGGGCCATGCCAGAGCAGGTGGCCAAGTACCAGGAGGAATGCCAAGCCCATACTCAGGCCAAGTTTGCCAAGTAAGCTCCTCATTTGCTCATTCCCCCTCTGTGGCTTTTCCCAGCAGGCTCCCTGTGGCCTGGAGGCTGCTCACCTGAAGTTTGCCACCTCTTTTTGTTCCGTGGGTTACATTTGCTGATGGGCATTGATTGGCCTGACTGAGCTGTGTGTGTTCTTTGTGCTGTCTGTGGCCATGCCAGCTACAGCAGCACTGATGGGACCAGAGCTTGGCTGAAGGGTTTTGCATGTGCAGGCATGTCCTTAGGAACATGGCAGCCTGGGAACAGTCAGGCTGGATTAGTCCTTACAAAATATTGGGAGATTTCTTAACCTTCAGCCCATAGCTCAGCTTGCACCCTGAGCCAGAGGTTGCTGATACTGAGACCTCTGTCCAGTGCTGTTCAGAGATTCTTAATCTGCAGTATTAAATAGATTAAGTATCTACTTGAACCTGCAGGACGATCACTTCCACCTTTTCTGTCTCCATTTTAGGATGCTGGAAGAGGAAAAAGACAAAGAACAGCGAGTTTGTTCTGATGATGATGAGGATGAAGAAAAGGGAGGGAAGCGTGTCGCGGGCCCGCGGAAGAAATTCCAGTGGAATGATGAAATCAGGTTTGAATAACTCAGATATTAAGCAAATTCATGAACTGTCTTACTCTTTGCAGTTGGCAGTGAAGCATTTTGGTGTTTGTGTTTTGTTTACAAAGCAGTGCTGATCACCTGTAGGAGCAGTCAGCTTGGAGGTTCGTGGCACGTGGTGTTGGTTGTGGAAACCATTTCTGCATTTATTGCATCTCACCCTGAAGCTGATTTCAGGCCCAGGCTAACCCTGAGAGAAGTGCTGAGAGTCCAAAAGAGAGAGTCAGATCTTTGGGAGCAGAAGGCATTCAGCTGAATTGCTGAATCCTACAGCCCAGACTCTTGACATGCCCAGGTTCTGGTTCTGGAAGCAGTTGAAGCTGTTGGGTTCTGCTGCCCCTGGCACTTGGGGCTGACAGAGGAGGGAGTGCTGAGAACAGGGGAGAGTACCAAAGGGTAAAAGGAAAATCAGTCCTGCTGTCTTTTTCTTCTTATTCTGGAACAAATCCGTTTGTGCTGCTGATCCATGTAGGACATAGCCAGCTGTGCTTCCTGCCCTCTCCTTGCAGAGAGGTTCAGTTCTGTGGTTGTTACTGGTGCCTGTGGCTCTGGCACTGGTTTGCTGCCTCAGCTGGTTCAGGAGATCACACTGGGAAGGGGTGACAAGACTTTTCTCCCTGGTGCATCCATGTGTGTGCACACAGAGCAAGGACTGGGCCTTTCCCTTCTCCTTTCCTGAGGAGGCAGTGCAGGGTTGTGTTAGCAAGAGCCAGATGTGTCTTGCTGTATTTATCCAGCCTGGATAAAGAGAATGATCTCCAAGTGGGAAAGGTCAATCTGCATAACTGTATGTGAAATCTTCCTGTTCCTCAGGGAGCTGCTTTGCCACTTGGTGAAGATTAAATTGGATGGTTATGACCTTGACAAGAATAAGGCTCAGTCTCTAGAGGATTATGTGAAGACCTTCCTAGAAGGAGAGGTGAAGCCCCTTTGGCCAAAAGGCTGGATGCAGGCCAGGTGAGCAAGAACCAAGGATTCCTTGTCCCAAGGGACCTGGGAAGGTCATTGGTCCTACCCTTGCTCAGGGAATGGCTGGCTTCAGACTTAGATCAGAGTGCTCAGGGCTTTGGAGTGTGGAATTTTGGAAATTCCCAAGGATGGAGATTACCACAGCATCTCTGGGCTCCTGTTCTGGTACTCGATCACTCTTCATGAGATCTTTTCTCCTTATTTCCTATAAGAATTCCCCTTGCTGCACTGAACTGAATATTCCCTGCTTTTGTTTTTGACTGTGCACCTTTGAGAAAGGTCTGGCTCCATCCTGTTCCTGTCCCCACCACTCTTTAGGTAGTGGAAAACTGCCATTAGACTCCTCCTGGGGCTTCTCCTGGAGCTTCTCTTTTTCCAGGCTGAGCAAAACCAGTTCCCTCCACCTCTCCTTGGCTGCTGTGTGTCCCTGTTCCTTGGGATGTCTCCAGTTTGCTAGCATCTCTCTTGGATAGTGGGGCCCCTGAAGCTGGATCTGTGTCCAGATGTGTCCTCCCAGGTGCTGATCAGGGCATGGTTTGCTCTCAGCAGGACACCTCTGCAGCAGTGGCTTCCCTTCCCTTGCCCCCCAGGAGCCCCAGGTCCTTTCCTGCAGGGCTGCTGCCCAGGGCTGTTCCATCCCAGCTGCAGGACTTGGTGCTGGATTTCACTGAGCTTCACAAGGTTTGTATTGGTGCCTTTCTCCAGCCTGGGAAGGGCCCTGTGAATGGCAGCCCTGCCCTCCACCATGTTCTCCCCCCTGCCTCTGTCCCTTTTCACCTCCCAAATGCCTGAGTGCAGCCAGGACTGTGAATGGCAGTACTGAGCAGCCTTGGTGCCATGGTGATGTCACACAGGTGCCACTGGCACTGAACTGGCACTGAGGCCAGGCCCATGGGCCAGTCTATGCTTTCTTGGCTCTGTATTACAAAAGATCCACTTGTAATCACAAAGGATACATTTTCCAGACACTTTGGGATATCTTCTCTGGAGTATTCCCAAAAGAAGGCAAAGTAGGAAAGTTGTAGGGGCTTATTGGAGTCAGTAGAATCTGGTGTGGTTTCTGTACCCTCACTGCTGTTTCCTGCTCTTTCCCACTCTCCATCATCCCTGCCCTCGAGCTGGCAGTGGCAGAGCCACACAAATGGCACAGTCCCTCTGCTGGGACTGTCATCACCTTCTGGCCTGCTTTGTTTTGCTCACTATTTTCAAAGCAAGGACAACTCTGCAGTCTTACTTTGGAATCTTTAAGGTTCCTTCCAGCCCAAGCTGTTCCATGTTCTGTCTCTTTGCATTTCACCAGCTGGGCAGTGCTGACTTCTCTGCTGAGTTCTCTGCTGAGTTTGCTTTCTGGGTGTTGGGGGGTAAAGGAAGATGTAGGTAGCAGCTCCTAAGAGCAGTAAGTATGAGTGGCACATCAGAGATGCACTTGGAGAAGCCCATGAAGGCTGTTTGGTGCAGTTGCATGTGCACAGGAAGCTCAGAGCTCAGCATGGTTGTAGTGTGGTGCTGCAGGAGCTGAAAGGTGGCATTAGGAGATGTAGGAAGATTCCTGCTTAGTTAATGAAGATATACCCAGCCTGAGGGTCTCAGCTTGCCAAGCTGTAAAAACTTTTCTTTGAATAAAAGGAAATTAAAATCTTTAACTCCAAGTTTGCTGGTGAAACTGTTGTTGGGCATTCAGGTGTTCACAACAACTCAGTGTAGGAGGCACTTCCAGTGGAATTGAGCACAGTAAGTAATACCTCAGTAAGAGTGGATTTCCTGGTTGCTTTCCAGTGGCTCAAGGACAGTGGTTTCTCCTGCTGGGACTTGGAGTTGGACTTGATCTTTCTGGGTCCCATCCAACTCAAGATATTCTCTGACTTGGTGGTTTAAAGGCAGAGGGTAGTGCGACAGCCATGGGGAGGGATTGGTGGCTCTAGGAAAACTGTAATAATTTTATGGATAAGTCAGCTTGATTCACTGTCATCATGGTCTCAGAAGTTCATCTGTGAGAGGAACTTGAAGGTGGACAGAGCAGCAATTTCATGGATGAGTTAGAGAGGCCCTGCCATGAGTCTGTTTCCTCCATGAGCACTAAGAGATGATTAACAGAATGTTAGGTTAACAAAAGCTTGCTTTTTAAGAGAAAAAATAAGACAAAAGTCTGTTAATACCAGCCAGGAATCACATTCCATGTGCCAGTACTGAAGGAGTAAACATTCCTGTAGCTCCTCCCTGACATGTAGGAGGGCAGCTGGTTTGGGTCAGAGCGTGTTTGTGGGGGGAGACTCTGCTTTACCCTCAGTAGTGCAGGCTTTGGATGAAGCTCAGTCTATTGGCTGTACTCAGTCAGTCCTTCCAGAAAGGGTTGTGATGTACAGAGTCACCTCAGCTCCAGGCTGGGGACACAAAGGCAGCACAGACCCTTCTCTCCTTCATTGCTGGCTGAGAGGCACAGGAAGGGAACTTTCTCCCTGGAGACTGAAGAGCTCTTGGATGATCTCTGGCAGCAGGAAGGCCCTGAGTGATGATCCTGCCCCTCCAGTTGGCTTTTTAAGCTGGCAGAGCTTTTTCCTTGGGCATTGTCCAACCACTGCCTCAATGGCCTTTGCAGTGCCTACAAGCATTGCTCCCCAGAGAGAGAACTGTGTGGGGCAGCTCAGGATGATCTTCTGGCAAAGGGCTGAATATTTGTTTGCTCTCTGTGGTTTCAGTTTCACCAAGTCCCCTGCTGTGCTGTGCAGCTCTGTCTCCAGTGATCCCAGCTGCTCTACTGGGTCTTGCTGGATATCACTTCTCATTGCTCTCTTCCCTTCTTAGGACACTGTTTAAGGAGAGCAGGCGTGTACACGGACACCTCACATCAGTCCTGTGAGTATCACAGCCTTCCTCTGGAGTGAAAACTGCTCATCTCCATTCCCTGGGGCCTGGGGGGATCCTGCAGGAACACCTGAGCTTGCTTGGCTCCCCCCTCATAGATCAGTGCTGCTTCCTTTGGGGAGGCCTAGGGAGAGCAGCTGCTTGTATGTGACATCTCCCAACACTTTCCTCAGGTGCTTTAGCCTTCAGCAAGCTCAAAAAGAACAACTTTAAAGCCAGGTTGCCTCTGGTTCAACAGCCTGGAGTGAGGCCTGTGTGCTGGGCCTGGGAGGCTCAGGGAGGTCAGGTGGAGTGTGATTTCTGCAGCCTGTTCAGTTGGTGCTTGCTGGGTTCTGGATTCCCTCTTTCTTGTTGCCTGGTTCAAGGAGGGGTACCATGAGCTCAGACTGGTGAAGGTGGGTGCAGCTGGCTCACCAAGAGCCATGAGAATCCAGCTGGGCAGGGGCTTTAATCCAAAGGGTCTCATGGATCTTGCTGGTGGTTGATAACAGATGAGGACATGGATTTAGGCTGGTGTCAGTTTGGCAGACAGTCCTGTTCTTGGAACTGGTGAGTGAGGGGAAGTGGAATAGGGTGTAGAGTCATCCTTCCCTCAGCCACACACCCAGCAGCTCAGGGATGTCTTGTACCAGAGGTTGCATCTGACCAGATCTATTCTCTGGGAGTTTGGCAGATGCTTTTGCATCTTTTGCTTCTTCTGGGAAGCCAAAAGAAGGGTGTAACTTCTGCAGAACAGTCTCTGTGCCAGTTTCTCTCTGGGCCTCGCTGTAGGAGGGCAGCAGCAGTGGGGTCCTGCAGCTGGTGCAGATGTGTGTGTGGGTGTTTCACTGCTCTGCTGCCATTCCAAGACTCTGCTCCACTCCCTGATCAGCTCCCTGGTGGGAGTTGGGGTTTCCAAGAGCAGCAACCAAATGTCATGTGGTTTTGAATCCTAGCAACCTGAGATGCTGCCTCTGTTCCCTGCAAAGACTCAGTGGATCATCACCAGCAGGGCCCAGGTGTGCTCCCTGGCTGGCTCCTTCCTTGGGGCAGTCACTCAGCCATGTTTCTCTTGTCTTCCTCCAAACAGGGCGAAGAAGAAAGTTATAGCTCCTACCAAGGTGAAAGTGAAGGTGAGTTCTGTTTTCTGGTTCTCAAGGTTGGTATGTGCCAAATGTCAAATGACTGCCACCCTGAACCCTGTGTTTGAGCTTTGTATCAGCTACTGTGAAATGGCTCTGCTCAGTATTTGCCTTGGAAAAAACAACTGGAACAGCAGCTAAAATTGATGGCAGTGGCAGCTGGGAGGGAAGTGGGGGCTCATGGGCACAGAATATGTGTGTCCTGCTTTTTATCCCCAGATTGTGAACCTTCCCTCCCCTTCTCAGCAGTAAACCCTGTCTCTCTTCTGACTGTGCCTTCTCCTGTGATGTTGTTCCAGGACTCTTCCTGCAAGCCAGACAAGAAGCTGTCGGTGTCTGTCCCTTCCCTGCACTCGAGCAGCACCTTGGCCATGTCCTCAGAACCCCAGGGAGGAGCCCTGGGCATCAGTGCCCAAACCAGGGAGCTCTTGTCCCTTGGGACAGCCCAAGCTGCCAGCAGCACTGCCACTCCTGCCACCTTCAAGGATGATTCCTTGGATGAGGACTTGATTCACAACCCCACCTCCTCCCTGGAAGCTGTGTCCAAGGAACTGGCTGTGCTGAACAGCAGGGCAGCAGGGAGCCCTGACTTTACTCTTCCTGCAGCTCCAAAAGCTCCACCAGAGAAGATCCCAGCTCTTGCATCCTCAGAGGAGAAGAGGACATTTCCAAAGCCCAACCCTTCCCCTACATCATCCTCTGGTTCCCTCCAGTCTCCTCTAAACTTCCTTGCTGAGCAGGCCCTGGCGTTGGGCCAGTCTTCTCAAGACAAGAAGACAGAGAACTCTAATTACAAAGAGCATTCCTGCCAAGCCTCCCCCAGCAAAATCCTTCCTGATGCCCACCAGGCTAAACAGAAGCACCACAGCCTGGTCAGGCCAGGCCACGGGCCCCCGGCCTCGGCGCCGGTGCCGGGCGCTCAGGTGAAGGTGTTCCACCCTGGTGCTCAGCTCCAGAAAACCTTCACCTCCCCAGCTCCCTTTGTCAAACTGCAGAATCCCAAATCCTCCACCCCCCTGCCCCAGCGCTCCCTCCTCCAGCAGGTCAAGTCATCAACCAAAGCTCAGAGCTTCCATTCCTCCACGACCCCAGGCAGCACCCAGAACTCCAGCAGCTCCCACAAGAGCCAAGGCTTGTCCTCATCCTCTCTCAGCTACGCCGGGAAGCACTCGAGTGGCTCTGGCTCTTCAGGACAATCTTACAAATCCCCTTTTGTCGCTGGCTCCCTCTCCAAGCACGGGGCTTCTTCCAGCAGCTCCTCTGGAGCTCCTGCCAACCAGGGCAGCTCCTCTGGGACTTTGCTCCCCGGCGTGGCGGCCCCGTCCCCAGGCTCGGCCTCCGGCCGCCCGGCCTCCAGCTCCTCAGTGAAGAAACCTCCCGTGGCCCAGAAGCTGACCCTGGTGGCACCTCCTGGAGGCTCCAACGGAGATTCCAGCGGGGGCACCCAGGGCGTGGCCAAGTTGCTGACCTCGTCCCTAAAGCCAGCTGTGGTCAGCAGCACCGCAGCCTCTACCTCTGTCCCGGTAAGGGGGCCCTGCTGGCAGCTGCTGCTCACTGCTGCCCTGAAGGGGGCACTTCAAAAGAAAAATCTGGAATGACTGTCTGGATTTCAGCTGCTTTAGACTAGAAAGTTGTGGCCTTTGCCCTGGGCTTGCCCTCCAGAATTCCAGCTTTCACTTTCAGCTTAATTAACCACTGAGCTGAATACTGTGCTGCCTTCCAAAGGGCAGTTATTGCCCAGGCTGTGTCATGGTCCTGCCCTGGCCCTGTGAGTTATGGGGACAGTAGGGCTCCCATTTGGGTTAAGAGAAAGTGCAGTAAGGTAATTTATCATAAGAGATAAAGTTCATGGCATGAACTAAAAGTATAATGATGAATTTATTATTTATTAGATCTACAAACTTAGCCCTCTTTAAATTATTCCAAGTCATTTTAGTATTATTGCCACTTTTGTCATGACTGGCCCATAGAATAACCTGTGGTTATAGAACCATGGTTTCATTCAGGTTGGGAAAGCCCTCTAAGATCATTGAGTCCAACCACTCCCCCAGCACTGCCAAGGCCACCTCTAACCCATGTCCCCAGTGCCACATCCACAGAGCTTTTAAATCCTCCCAGATATGGTGATTCCATCCCTTCCTGGGCAGCTGTGCCAGTGCCTGACCATCCTTTCCATAGAGAAATTTCCCCAATATTTGTTAGGATAGAACATTTCAGGAAGGACTTCTGGGTTGTCAATACAGACTTGTATTATTACAATATTGTATTACTCAATGGTATAAGGGGCTTCATTTTTATCTATAGCAAAAAAGTAATAGTTCCTAATGTTGTATTCATTTGTTGTTGGCTGCTCATGCCTGCCTTCCTTTGTGCCCCATGGAAAGAACTGGGAAATACAAGGAGTGTGTTTAAATGGAAAGCATGTACTGCTCAGTTGATACAGCTTGTCTGTTCCTGAGCTAGAGAGCTCCTCAGTGGTGCCTGTCTCCATGAGAGAGATCCTAAATAACCTCCTGGGGTGCCTTGGGTGTCAGACCTCAATGCCTGGAGTTGTCAGCAGTGTGTGCTGCCATAAGTGAGTAGGAAGCAAACCCCTGGAATTCACAGGCAGTGTGGAAACTTTTCCTCTGCCTAATGGAGGCACAATTCCAGAGCAAGGGAGTCACGGAGGCAAATCCAGCGTGGCCACCTTCAGAAGAGCTGGCTTGCCAATGTCCATCTGCAGATGGCCTCAAGTGTTGGCATCTCTTGGGCCCTGGCTGGGAGAGTGCTTTTTCCAAGGGGGAATTCTTGAGCATTCCATGTTTTGCAGATCTGTAAGTCTGAATGATGCTGTACCTTGATTCTCCCTCTCCTGACTGACCTTTTCCATTGCTTTGCAGAAAGGAACTAGTGGAGCTGTGCTGCTAACAAGCTCTTCCTCCTTAAGTGTACTGGCTCCATCCTACAAGTCCAACAACCCAAAGCTGCCAGCTGCCCTGAGCTCCACCCCGTTAGGTATTATCTCTCCTATTCATTCTTTCCCTCTCCATGTCATCTCCTTCAGTTCCGACTCCTCCCCAAAAGCAGGAGTTTCCAAGGATGCAATAGTTACAGGACCTGCTCCAGGAACTTTCCACCACGGCCTCGGGCACAGTGAGTATCCTGCTGGTCACCTGTGTGTCACCTGTGCCTGTGCTGTCACCTAGAACATCAGTGCTCTGCTGGGCTGCCCCATTGCACACCAGCCCATCTCTCTGGCTGTTGCTTTGTGCTGTGCTCCCTGCTTTTGAATCTCCAGCAGTTGCATTTGCAGAACATCCCTATAGCTCACCCAGAAGTGCCAATAACTGGAACCTGACCTCTGTAACTGCTGCAGCTCCTCTGCTCATTTCTGTCTTGGATGTGTATTTGTTCCTTTTTCCCTGTCCTCTCTTTGTTTTTCTCTCTAGGTCTTCTGGCTGGTTTGCACTCCAGCCCCCACCACGCAGCGCCACTCCCACACTCTGCCCTGGCCACTCACTTACCACAGAGTTTGCCAGGTAACTTCTCAGATGCTCTTGTTTGTCTTCTGCCTCGTGAGTCTCCCTCTATCTCAGCAGATCCTTCCTTCAGGGCTGCAGCCAAAGGGGTTTCCATGTTTTCCAGCTCTGTGGTTGTCACTAAAGCCTCTCTGAGGTACAGAGTGAGGGGCTGGGGGAAACCTGCTCTGGTGGAAGGTGTCCCTGCCATGGCAGGGGGTGGAACAGGATGGGCTTTAGGGTGCCTGCCAATCCAAACCATTCCATGATTAGGAAGAAATTCTTGGCTGTGAGGGTGGGCAGCACAGGGTGCCCAGAGCAGCTGTGGCTGCTCCTGGATCCCTGGAAGTGTCCAAGGCCAGGTTGGACAGGACTTGGAGCAGCCTGGGATAGTGGAAGCTGTCCCTGCCCATGGCAGGGGTGGGACTGGAGGGGCTTTAAGGTCCCTTCCAATCAAACCATTCTGGGATTCTGTGGTTTCTGGAATGATGAGTCCTCAGTGCTTACAGCAAATGTTGGTTCCTGCAGATACTCTGAATTATCCTGCCAGGATGAAAGCTGTGCCTGTTTGTGCACAGCCTGCCAGGACTGCCCTGGAATGAATATTCCAGCTCTGGGGAGTTCTGTTCCTGGTGGCCTACATAAAATGTGTCAGACCAGACTGTCTTGTGTCTGTGCACTGAGTTAATTGCCAGCATCTCCTTCACAACAAGTTTGTAGTGTAAATGCAGATTGCTCCACTTGCTGCTCACAACGTGAGGATTTGGCAGTTAAGCCTGTTCCTGCCCCAGTTTGATGCCTGCAGAAGTGATGCATAAAACAGGAGTTTTCCAAAGGAGAGAAGTAAGGAAAATTGAAATTCAGCGCCAGCAGATCATTCTTACCTGCTCCAGGGAGCTGCTTATTCCCCTGATAACTCCTATTTCTGCTTTCTTAGGCATGTTCTTTAGCACTTGGGTGCAGTTCAGTGCCATTATCTTAGTACCTGCTCCTGCTGGGATGGTCTTCCTGGGCTAAGTGAGCCTGATTTAGGAGTGCCAGCCTGGCCCTGTGGTGTGTGCATGGATAACCATGTAGTCTCCTGGAGGAGTCATGGCATAAAAGACCCCTGAGTGCTGAGCACGGTGCTTGTTGGCTGAAGAAGGAAGAGTGTGTTGTGCACTCAGGAAAATGCAAAGAGTTGGTTGGGTTTGCTTCCTTTGCTGAAGTTTGATGTGGGTTGTGCCATGCTGGTGTGGTAGAGCTGAAGAAGGTCCTGGCAGTGATCACTGGTGGGACAGACCCTTCCTTCCTGTTTGTAAATCACACTTCTGGAATGAGATCAGAGATTGAACATGGCTTGTGGAGTATATTCCATGTCACTGAGGAGCAGCTCTTTGTCCCTTTAGTTGAGGGAGTTCAGAGTGATCACTGTTGTTCATAGGGCTTATAACAGAAGAATTTTTTGATGAATTCTTCAGCAGGATGCAGGGCCACAAGACAAAAGACCACTGGGAATAAGTGGAGGAAAATTGACCATGGATCCAGCTCAGCAAGGACCTCCTTTCTCACTTGGTGTTTTCACTTAAAGATTGGGGATGGAGCCTGGTGCTGCCATCTCTTGGAACACTCCCAATTCTGGTGTTTTGGGGGAGAACACAGCAGATATTTAAGTGACTCCCATAACCTTAAAATGAATTCCTGTGTTTTGTGGCACCAGCTGTGTTTGGCTGTGCCAACACCTGCCCACAGCTGCATTGCTGTGTCTGAGCACTGGAGGTGCGTGGGAGGTTGCTGCAAGTGCAAGGGGATGTTGATGCCTTAAATAAAAGTGCTTTTATATCCATGTTGATCCAAGAGCCTCTGAGCAAAGAGCATCCAGTGCTTGCCTGTGCGTGGTCGGTGCTTCTGGTGCTGGTGGAGGTTCCTTGTGCTGGGAATGTGGAAATGGGATGTGCTGGGCTGAGCTCTTGCATGCAAAGGAGCTGTTCTTGGCCTGGAGGAGAAGCTGCTGCTGCACTGCTGGTGCCACTGCTGCTTAGCTGCACGTCTCAGTGCTCCCATTTGTCCATCACAGTCTGAAGTGGGTTTGATTGCTCCTGGAAAACTTTTGCTTCCTTAAACTTCCTTTTTCTCTCTTCAATGCATTTTCTCTTGTCCTCCACATCCATTCCTTTCTGTTCCATCAGTGGTGAGATTCCTATGGATCCTGTTGCTATCAGTGGGCACCTAAAGCCTTCATTTAAAAAGCACCTAATTAAATAATTAAAAAAAAATCAATAAAGCACCTAAAGCCCTACCTGAAAGGGGTTTCTAGGTGAGGGGTTGGCCTCTTCTCCCACACAACCAGTGACAGGACAAGAGGAGACAGGGGGAAGTTTAGGTTGGACATCAGGAGGAGTTTCTGTTTGGAAATGGTGGTCAGGCATTGGCAGGGGCTGTCCAGGAAGGTTTGGAGTCCCCATCCTTGGAGGTGTCCAAGGAAGGCCTGGACATGGCACTCAGTGCTCTGGGCTGGGGACAAGCTGGGGATGGGTTACAGGTTGGTCTCCCTGCTCCTGGAGGTCTTTTCCAGCCTCAATGATTCTGTGATTACAACAGCAAAAATGTACAACAGGTTACTTCCAACCACCTTAGGGGCAAGGCACCCACAGCATGTATTTTGGGATTCCTGGAGAGGGAGATGTGGCAGGGTGGATTTAGAGAAGGGCCCAGGCTAAGGAGTTCCCTGGCAGCTGGAATTGTGCCTGGGGCTTCTGCTGGGAGCCCACAGGGGACCCTCAGTGCTTCCCTTGTCCCTTCCTCCGAGGCTGCTCCCAGTGCAGAAATGTCTCCAAGCACATCCTCTTCTTCTTGATCCCTTGGTGCTGGGAAGGAAGAGTAGGTCTTTCCCTCTGTGCAGAGGCCTGGCTGTCCCAGCTGTGCTACAGGGGGTGCTGAGCCCCCTTCCCAGCTGTTTTATTTTCTTTCAGATGCTTCTCAGCTTCACGGCAAAGGGTCCAATGCACAGCAGCGCAAGTTGTGACGCCTGCAAGGAGGGGAGCTCCAGCACCCATAGGATAAAACCCAGAGGAACAGGTCATGGACTTTGGATACCAGCTGTGTCTTTTGATTTCTTTTTTTTTCTTTTTTTTTTTTTTCCTATTTCTTTTTTTTATGACAACTGGAGAGACTGAACTGCAACAAGGAACTCATTGGGGTGTCTGCTCAGAGGCTTTCAGAGCTGAGCCCCACACATGGGGCCACCTGGAGCCATGCCCTGATGAGAGGAGCCTTTTGTAGCACTGTTTATTGCTGCTGCCCTTCCTGCATTCCCTGGCACTGGCAGGAGCTGGAACTCACAGGGAGGCTGGGGTGGTCCTGCAGTGGATTCCCACCCACCTGTGTCTGTAGCTGCCAAGTACCTCCAAGTCCAGTTACCTCCTTGGTCTCCCTGTGGAGGGTATGAAAGGTGCTTCTTTCTTCTGCTTTGGATTTACTTGGATAATTCTAGCACTGCCAGTGCTTTCTTGAAGACATTTGAGTAACTTTCCAATTGTACTATAAAACTGTGCTACACTTAATTGGAGGATTTAACATTTCCTGTGTGGTGAATCTAAGGAACCACCTGATGTTCCCCTCTGGAGGAGAAGGAAGACTCTTTAGAGACTAAAGACATTTTTAGATGCAGTCATCGACTTTTAGAATTCTACTTCTTTTGAGTTTTTGGATTTTTTTTCCCTCCAAAGGGATGCTTTTTTCCTGCTCAGTTTTATCCTCATTGCCATCGAATGCATTGGATTGAATGGGACACCTCTTAGCATGTCACATGGATGGGAAGACATAATTCCAGTGCCTTTTATGGTGGAGCAAGAATGGACTAGTGACACACATTTCAGCCCTATTTTGTGTGCTCCTCAACCCTTTTTTAATCATTCTGTATTTAAAATGTATTCTGGTTTATTTAATAGAGCTTTTTATGGTTGCACATCAGAAGAAAAAAAAAAAAAGCTGCACTGTCTGGACTTCAGTGGTGACCTGGTGACTGAGCACAGTCCCAAATCCAGCAGGAGCACCAGTTCTCATCCCAGTATGTGCAGGCGGGTTCCAGGCCCTCCCCTAAAGCCATTCTTTCCTAGGGTTGTGAGTTAGGATCAATTTGGTGGGCAGAGGGAATGAGTGAGATGAACCAAGGTCACGACCTGTCCAATGAATTCCAGAGAAAAACACCTCAAAGGTACCTGCACCAGGATCATGTGCTCAGCACAGCTGCAGGAACAGGGACCATCTACAGTCTGGGGGTGTCTTTTCTTCTTCATTTTTTTAACTTTTGAGCTAAATACTCCCCCTGTGCACCCCCTTTGGGGCTAAGGGCAGGCTGAGGCTCCACCTGAGCTTTCTGAGGTTTGGTTTCCTGCTCTGCCCAGTCTGTCTTGTCTCAGGCCCCCCCAGCCACGTCCCAGTTGTGCAGGGGTAGTGCTGATCCATGTCGAATTTGCTGGTATTCCAAGGAAAAGCTTGCAGCTTCCTCCTTGAGCTTTGGGGCAGGATGCTGACCCCAGGATAGCAGCAAATGTCTGCTTTAGTTTGCTCTGGTTTTTGTTAAGATCTGAGAATGTCTGTTTTCAATTTGAGCTGATGCATTCACTGCCCAAGATCGGTGAGTTGATTGTATTTCAAATTAATGGATACAGCTCAGATTTCAAGTCTGTTTACAGAAAATACCTAGGTTGTAGCAGAAGAGCCAAAGACAGAACTGGTGTGGGTCAAAGGAAGCACAGCATTTCTGGTGGACTCTGAGCAGTGGATGTCGTGTGGTTCCTGTTGAAGGCCTCATCCTGAGGGGTGCTTGGCACCTTCACCTTCCCCTGGGAGCTGAAAGCTTGGGACACCTGGCAGGATAGGGGCTCTCAGTGAGTGACTCCAGGTACTGGTTCTCCTCCCTCTCTTTGCTTTCACTTGAATGCTTCTGCTGGGAAGCCCCCGTGTGCAGAATCCCTCCTTCTAGGAATTTAGCGAAGCCTCTTGCCTCAGGGAAACGTTTATGTGGTGGAAATTCTGTGGGATATTTTTTCTTTACATGCTATAATGAATGAGTGAGTGGTGTGGAGCAGAGTGGCAGCAAGGCAGGCCCATGCAGAGCAGCTGATGGGGAGCCAGGCTGGCACCTCTGCCTTGGGGAGGCAACTGGCAGCGCTTCCAGGATGGAATGGGGAGGGATAGGCTCCCATGGCACTTACCTGGGGATGGCAGTTCCTTTTGGGTGTAAGAGCTGCAGTTTACTATTCTATTTTTTTTTATGTGTGTTGGCACTGTCTTGCTGAAGATGGTGGGGGTGGTATGAAAAATGTTAATCTTGTACAGAACAACTCAATAAATTGTTTCAAACTTTCCAAAACGCTTTTTCCCCCATCTCCTTACCTCTAGTTCCCTGACTTTGTTCCAAGGAATTTCTGTTGCAGCTTGGTTGCTCATCTGTGTCTCGAGTGAGTAATGAATTATTGACTGTTTTAAAGTCTCCGATGTGGTGAGTGAATGGCAGCTGTGTTACAGCTGTTGCAGGGGTGGGAATGTTTCTTCTCATTCCCTGTGCTCCTCATGGTGCTTGAAGTTGGCCTCTGCTGGAAAGGACCTGTGGGGCTCAGAGCCTGCAGGACCAGTGAGATCCTCCCTGATCCCTTCAGTCACAAAGGTAAAATAGTGGTGTTACTCCCCAGAGCCAGGAGGGATAAGCAGGGAATGCTTATGACTGCTTTTGTGGACATCTGAGCTCCCCAGGGTTTGGGTATTAGCTGAAATTGGGGCAAAAGGAAGTGAATGAGTTCTCAAAGGTACCATCCCAGTGTGATCCACTGTTCTCCTGCAGTCAGTCCCATTCTTTAGTGCACTTCACTCCCATCTACTGCTGCTCATTAGTCCCAGCTTCAATGCTGCTCCAGCAATTTCCCCTTGGAAAAGAGCCAACAGCTAAAATGAATAATCTTAGTGCTTTAATTCTGACTCCTAAATGGCAACTTCTTGTACACCCAAAGATCAGGAGGCTGCCATAATTAATGAAAACCACACACCTTCTGATTGGAACCACTGCATTTTTATTTTGTACTATAAATAGAATTCCCCTCTATTCCCCATTCCCTTACACAAGTAAATGAAACATGTAGCTGCATGTAACTCCATCCAGGAAAACACCAGCACTAACAGCTTTTAACCACGAGTGAAGGAGCTGCCTGTGGGAGGCCCTCTGCATTGGGTTCCCCTGCATGCTGTGCACAACCCCTTGTGTCTGGTGGTTCTGCCATCTCTTCATGTCCTTTTCCTTGACCTCTGGGGTGTGTGAATGCTCCTCCTGGATCAGCGGCTGGTGCCATCAAACTACACCTTCATTCTTCCCCAGCAGCACAGGCACAGAGGTGAACAATGGTGGTGGTGAGTCTTGACGTGGTGATTCTGGGCTGAAACCTTGGTTTCCACAGAGCTGGTTTTCTCAGAGGATGAGCCCATCATTGAGTCAGTTGTCCACGGTGGGACTGTCTGGCTTATCACCATGCAGCTGATGTAACCAGCTCCTGCTGGTCACCTTGGAGTCACCTGAACCTTCAGTCTCTCTCCTGACATGGCTTCGTGCACGACTGTGTGAGTAGGAGTTGAGGAAACTGCAGGTTCTACTGAGTCTTTTGGACTCGAGGCACTTCACTGTCCTAAGGCTTTCTCTTGTTTTCTGGTAGGCAGGGAGGAAGAGGGGTTTCAGGAGGTTGGCAGATGTTTTCCACTACTGGTGGTGTTTTCTGCAGTGTGTGACAACAAGCGGAGTGGCTGCGTAGCATGGCCGGGGCAGAGGCTGTAGCAGTTTGGAAGAGGCGAAGGAGGGCGAGGCTTTGCAGTGATCTGGGTGTCTGCAAGGTGCTGCAGCTCTCACTGGCTGCTCTTGAAGTGAAGTTTCTAGAGTGGAGCGAGCGCTGTGTAATTGCTTCCGGACACCAAGACTGCCAGCTCCTGGATGGACATCTCCTTGTTGAGGTAACTGTCGTACTGGGCCGCCGTGAGCCTCCCGCTCTTCAGGGCGTCCTCGATGGAGAACTCCCTGCCAGACTTCCTGTCGAGGATCACAGACGATTCCCCGTTGGGACCCTTTATTGAGATCTCCTCCCAGTCACATTCCTGGCTCTTCAGTTTGACAAACAGGCTCCATTCAATGAGGCCAAACACGTGAGCTTCCTCTGGAGACATCTCTTTTCCGGTGTCGGGGTCAATGACCACGATGGAGCGCCTCAGGTGGTTCTCTCGTTGCTCCCTCTTGATAGCCACTGTCTTCAGGCGATTCTGAAGTTGCTCAATCTCTGCATCTTTTTCTCTGGATAATTGCTTCAGATCCTCTAACTCCCTTTCCAAAGCTTGGAACCTGGAGTCCAGGTTTATTCCACTGTCCACGTGGGTCATGTTTCTCAGATCCTGAGCTTCTGTTGCGGTGAGTTCAATCTCTGACTGCAGTCTCCTTGTTTCCATCAGTAGGTTTTGTTTCTCGAGGTGGAGCTTGTGGTTTTCCTCCCTTAACAAGTCTAGCTCCTTTGACGACTTGGAGTTGTTGAATTCCACCTCGGACAGCCTGGTTTCCAGGCGGTTGATATCTGCATCCAGCTCCCTCTTGCGCCTACTTTCTTCCTCCAGGTTGCTCTTCAGCTTTTGAATCTCATACTCCGTGTCTCCTTTGTCCACTTGGACACTCTCTGAAAAGACCACTTTCTCCTTGACCTCCATCTTCTCCAAAGAAAGGAGCTTCTTTCTCAGGGCTTCTAGCTCGGTTTGCAGGACTTGTCTGCGGTGCTTCTCTTCTTCTAACTCCAGCTTGAGGAGGGAGTGCTCCTTCTCCTGCTGGGGATCTTGCTGAAGGATCACTTTCTGTTTCACAGTCACTCGTTCTGTCGTTTCTCTCTCCTGTTCTTCCAGCTCGTTCAGCCGGATCCTGAGCCTCTGCACCTCCAGCTCGGCCTCCCTGCGGGCCTGTCTCTCCTTCTCCAGCTCCTCCAGCTGCCGCTCCAGCTCGGAGCGTCTCCTCTGCAGCTTGCGCAGCTCCTCACGGAGGCCATCGATCTGCTTCAGTTCGCTCTCGATGCTCTGTGAGAAGGAGTTCACCTCAGCTTTCAAGGCAGGATCCTGCTCATACTTCACTACTTCCTGCTGGACCACCTTCTCCTTCACCTGGGAAAGTTCTTCCTCCTTCAGTCTTACTTTTTCTTCTTGGAGAAGGCGTTCCCTCTCCAGGTCAATGTGCTTCATTTGTTCGTCTGCCAGCTGCACTCGCAGCGACTCTACCTCCTCTCTAGTCTTGGGGTCTTCCCTAAACTGGAGGATTTCTTGAACAACTTCCTTCATTTGCACTTGGGGTTTGGTGTCTTTCAAAGCTTGTATCTCCTGTTTCAGCTGGTAGATCTCCAGGTCAGCTCTTTCGATAGCTCCGGTCCTCTCTATGATTTCCTCCCGGAGCCGCTGTAGCTCCTTTTCAGTTTCTGGATCATTCTTGTACTTAATGACCTCCTTAATGACTTCTTTGACTTCTACCAGGGGCCCTCTGTTCTTCAGAGCAGCCAGCTCGCTCTGGCAGCTCTTCAGCTGTTCATCCCCACCGCGGTACCTGCTCTCCTGCTCTACCAGCTCCAGGCGAAGGTTGGCAACTTCATTCTCAGCCTTGGGGTCTGGGCGCACAATCTCACGCACTTTCTCCTGAACAACCACCTTGGAGTTCTCCTCCTCCAGCAGCTGGATCTTCCTGAGCAGCTCAGCCTTTTCCCGCTCGTTGGAACGGCCCTTGGACTTCTCATCTTCGTACTGGCGCCGGAGCTCGTTCACCTCCCTCTCAATGGCCAAATCCTTCTCCACCTTCAGCACCTCCTTGACAGTGATTTTGCCCTCGGCAATGGCCCGTTCCTTCTCCAGACGCTTGAGCTTTTCCTGGAGGAAGCTGAGCTCTTCCTCGTGCTTCTGCCGAAGGGCGCTCTCCCTCTCCTTGGTCTCCTGCAACATCCGGAATTCCATCTCCAGCTGGGGATCGTTCTGCAGCTTCAGCACCTCCTTCTCTGTCACCTTCTCCTGCTCTTTGTTCTTCTCGCTGGACAGCACAGCAATTTGCTGGCGTAAGAGGATGACTTCACTCTCCCTGGTTCCTTCCTGCCTCCTGAGCTCTTCCAGTTCCTCTTTGAGCTTCAGGATTTCAGCAGCTTGAGCCTTATCTTGTTCAATCCTCAGCACCTCTTTCACTATGTACTCCTGCCCTCCTTCCCTCTTCTCGTGCTCCAGGACTCGCAGCCGGATTTTCAGAGCCTCCAGCTCATCCTGGAGTGCCTGGTTCTTGCGCTGCTCCTCTGCCAGGTTTTGCTGCAGTCTGTGGAAACTCTCCTCCAGCTGGGGGTCAGGCACCCTCTTCACCAGTTCTTTCTTCACCACAGTTTCTTGGGGCTTCTGGTTTTGCAGGTGGACAATGTTGTTCTGAATGGCTTCAATCTCTGCCTCGAGCTGTTGCCGACGCTGAGTCTCATCCTCAAGCTCTTTCTTCAACTTCCAGACTTCTTCCACAGGCCTTACAGACTTTTTGGTCTGGGCAAAGTCTTGTGTCACCTGAATATCTGGCTGCTGTTGTTGGCAAAAGGATCAAAAACATTAGTCCAAAAAATCCAGTTAATCACACTTTTGGTGCTTATCATCACAGAATCACAGAATCATTTAGGTTGGAAAAAACCTCCAAGATCATCAAGTCCAACCTGTGATTGATCCCCACCTTGTCACCCAGCCCAGAGCATGAAGTGTCACATCCAGTTGTTCCTTGGACACCTCTGGGAATGGTGGAACACATCCACCACCTCCCTGGGCAGTGCTTTCCAAGGCCTGACCACCTTTTCAGTGAAGAAATTTCTCCTGATGTTTAACCTGACCCTGCCCTGGCCCAGCCTGAGTTGGTTCCTTCTCCTCCTGTCCCTGTTCCCTGGGAGCAGAGCCTGACCTCCCTGGCTGTCCCCTCCTGTCAGGAGCTGTGCAGAGCCACAAGGTCCCCCCTGAGCCTCCTTTTCTCCAGGCTGAGCCCCTTTCCAGCTCCCTCAGCCCCTCCTGGTGCTCCAGCCCCTTCCCAGCTCTGTTCCCTTCTCTGGACATACTCCAGTGACTCCATGTTCTTCTTGCCATGAGGGGCCCAGAACTGGACACGGAACTCAAGGTGCCTCAGCAGGGCCAGCACAGAGGGACAACCACTGCCCTGGTCCTGCTGGCCATTCCTGACCCAGGCCAGGAGATTGGTGCCTCCAACAAACCAACAGGAGGGAGCTGAGCTGTGGCAAACCCTGAGCAGGGAGCATTTGCAAACGGACTTCTCTGTGGGTTCCTAGCCTGAGAAATCCTTTCTGCAATGCCTGC